CTGTATGGCTAATCCAAGGTCAAGTGCAGYTGCCCTTCTGAGATAAGCAATCACAGAGTGCTATATCCAACCTCTCACTTTAAAACTCCATGCTGAGACCCAYCCACCGTCCCATCTCCTAGCCGGGTGCCAAGTCATGTGGTCCACGGCCAGGGTCTGACCGGCGTGGATGTAATCAGTGGAGGTGACTTTGGCGATCACACTAAGCCCTTTACATTTATATTTTACTTACAGCCCGCGAAGTTCTTGGACACTCATGACGGTACCTGATCCTCCCCAGGATGGGCTCATTCCGAGACCTGAACGCCTTCCAAATGGTCTGCAGTCAGGCATGCTTTTTTTTTTTTTTTTAAGATCCTGTCATTCTGTTTTCTCAAAACTAGAACTTCTTATTTTCAGGAGTGTACCTATCAGGACCTCCCCTGCCCATCCTGATAATGRTAATAACRATGATGACATTRATACTGCKCATCGTCATTGTCCATGTGATTTGTCCAGCTCTAMCTTGGGCTGTAATTGTATGCCTCTTGCTGTCAGATCTCACCATGTCTTAGATCTGCATTTCATTAAAAGATCCTTTCCTTTCCCTATCGATCGCATCTCATGGAGTAATCGAACTCAATTCCAATTTTCCTTTGCAGGCGGGGTGTGCGCCCACCACGGAAGTGAGTTATGTCTGTTCAAGTGGTGCATCTTATGAATCTTGTTAAGCTTTGCTGCCTTGTAGCCCCACTGATGGAATATTTAATCACAGAAATGCGTTGGCTGAGATGATGTAGTGCGRGGAGCTCTGCGGTGTGTATCTTGCTGGCAATTGAGAAACAGATAAATTTGCCATTTGTCAGGACCACGCCGGCAACTCTGTATAACCTTCTGTTATTTATTTTTATTCTGTTTTATTTATTGATGAAGATTGGAGGTGCTCTAAATCAATAGTTTTGTGGGGTAGGTATCATGAATATCTGCAGGAGACATTCGTTTTGGAAAGAGACCTGTTTATGAGACGGCAAGGACACTGGCAGGGTCAGTGTCAGAATTCCCTGGGGCTCTCTACATCCGGGTTCCYGGAAGTGCTGTTTGTAATCACTCTGGGTAACTTGAGGCATCTGCGGAGAGTGCACATCTACAGCTATTCCTCTTCCGCTTACAGCCCTCAGATCGACTGGAACTCTAAAAGGCAGGCCAAAGTCTTCCAGACCCACCTGGGTCCTAATTGACTGATTACATTTGCCTTGAGACTAGGCCTCAAGGGGGCTGGAGATGATTACACCCAGGAAAAAAATCAAAGCTACTTAGCTTTCGAGGGAAACACCCTCCTGTCTTTGGAGAAGATTTCTGTGTTCATGGGCTATGCAGATTTATGTACATCTGCTTCGGAATCCTGGTATTGAACAAGAATTTTAAAGAGTTCATCTAGGTRTGACTTGAGGAGARTTGGGGGGGAGGGGGGAGGAAAAAAAACTTCCAAAATGAAAGACCTTTTATAACAGTTTTCAAAATGCTTCCCCTGGAATGTGTGTGAGGGAGAGCAAATGTCATAATTTATCAAAGCAAATTAATACTGTTCAGCTGGTAATTAAAGGTCCTCATTAAGAAGTGAACTGCTTTCCCCACACCCACCCTGCGTTAGCAATAAAAATGCACTCGGGGCATCAAAAGGTTATACACGAAAATCAATAACTTGCCATTTTATAATTAAAAGAGAAAATAAATGTTAGGGAAAAGTCCACTAAATTAGGAAAATTACCTTTAGGAGAGATTGAAAATATTGATTTTAATTTACAAAATATGTGAACTTTTCACGCCCCATTCTGAGAGACAATTGGAGGCTGGGTTGTTAATTCTGCATAAGCATCTGAAAATCAATGATTATGCTAAGGGAATATTATGAAATTTGTCATTAACACAACATCTTTCATATAGAGATGACTAATATAGCTGGCYTTCTATCTTAGGCAGACACAGGGCTGGCCTACGAAATACCCAAAGCCAACTGGTGAAAAGGTCTCCATTTCAGCAATCAGACACACCCCAGACAGCAAGAGGAAGCCAAGTTATTTTCATAGCTAGGGAAATGTAAAATGCCCACAAATTCACAGTCATGTATCTAGAGATGGAAGATGCGGGTTGTGCCTGGAGATGGAGACGAATGCCTCCCCTCTCCACCTCTGCATCCCTCCATCCCGCCCAGGCAGTGCCTGAAATGTGAGGGTTAAGCTCCTTAGCTTCTCAGAGCTTGTAGGTCTTCAAATATTTCAAAGGAACTGTGCGAAAGTGGTGGGACTGCAGACGTTTGCTCGTATTTCTGAATATCCTGGACTCTGTCTACGCAGAGTGGACAACTAGGGACGAGAGAGAACACCTGACCTTGCAGGTGATCCAGGTATCTGAGGCATCAAGCACAAATACCTAGGTTCCTCCAGCTAATGCTTATTCTCCCAAGTTCTGCTTCCTTATTATTGGAATCTCTCATAGCAAAAACCTTCCCTTGTTCAGGCTCCTATAAGGTTCTCCTGACATACCCAATTAACATGCCCTGGGATATGGTGGTAAGGTTTGGAATAATCCAGAATGATTATGTGTCCTCTTTTAAGTATCTGGTTTGGACCCAGAGAGTAGCATGATCACAGGACCCAGACAAGAGAAATTGCAGCTGTTTGTCTCCACCCCCAAAGTTATGAAATCCTTTACCCTGGATGCACAGAACTCCGGGACAATTAAAGCCGGATTTAGAAATGTGGCCTGCTTCTGACCAGTGGTGAATTGCAGGCCAGCAATACAGATGTTTGGTACCTTAGTTTTCTCCTTTACAAACTGTCCTGAGGGCTGTGCATCTTCATCTGTATCACGTATGGAGAACAGCGCCTCTACAGGGGAGGTACCAAGTACTCAGAAAATATCACCCCCTGACACTTGCTCTTTCCCACAGTAGCCCTGCACTACTCTGAATGTTGCCCAGAGCTCTAGAAGGAGTGTACACCACCAGTTCCTTCCTGAACATGTGCATCCATCGGAACTGTGGCTCCCATCTAAATGTCCCCTTGAACAACACAGACACACACGTGGGACCTCAAGGAAATCCCTGGAGTCTTCCTGGTTAAGAGGGCCACGCAGGACAGAAGCTACMTTGCATGGGACGCGAAACGCGCACCTTCCTTTATCACAATTCCCATAGCATCACCAGCCCCCACAGGAAGCCCTCCTGCTTCCTGTTCGTGACCCCATCACTTAGGGGAGAGAACCTGTGCACGGAGAACCCGCCAGCTCCCCAGGGCAGCGTCTGCTCTCACACCACTCSGGAGAGGTCACGACTCTACAGGCTTGGACAAGATGTCCTCCTGCAACACCTGCCGAGTCCACGTGCCCCTAAACAGACTGCAGTGCCCCAGATCCCAGGAATTGACTGCCCCCAGAAGGACATTCTGAGAACAAATAGTTAATCCTCTCCTGAATTAAGAAAAGGGTCTTCCAGTCCAATAGTATGTCAGAATCAGCTCTCAGCTCATTTGCCCCCATGCAGAGAGGTGTTGCATTAATGGTTTGTTTTATTTATGAAACGTGTTTAAGGTGCTGAATACTTGGCCAGCACAACTAGGATCTCAATCCCTTTCATCCTAACAAACATCGAAGAGCTGGTTACTACCATTATCCCCATTTGACAGATGAAGCAACTGAGGCACAGAGAGGTTAAGTAACTTTCCAGGACCACACTGCTGGCAAGTGGGGGAGCCAGGCTCTGAGCTTGGCCGTCTGGGTATAGCTTCCGAGCTCCTTGCTGTGCTGTGTGTCCTCTTGGGAGAGATGGGGTCCATGTTGTAACCATGGCCTGTCCCGTGTCCCTCCTCCCTCACAAGGGCCAACACAGCTTCCACTTTACAGTGGCAGACTTAGTCCAGGCTCCTGGTAAAGCTCACCCACAAAGAGCACCTGCAGAAATGGCCAACCTGAAACCCAGGACTCTGCTCTGACACTCCAGAGTTATCCGGTTTTAATTTCTTTTATCAGCGGGACTTTAGTGCAGGGGTAGCTCGGCTTCCTGTGTTCCTTTCTCACCCACTAGGGCTGAGGCTCAGTGTCAGCAGAAGGGCAGAAGTTGGGTGTCCCAAGAAGCAAGAAGGCCAGGGGCATGACTTACCGTCGGAGGTGGCTGAGTGAGGGACCCTAGATCAACTGGGAACCTACTTCTCCTCTCTCAGAAGCAAGAGCCTCATCAAAGAAAGACTCTTTTTGCATTTCCATGTGGCAAATCTACTACTGGGGTCCTAAGTGTTGGGTGTAGACTTGACAATGAACAAGAAGACCCCGGGCAGTAGTGACAGGCCAAGCCACGCACATCTGGACAGGGAACCTCAGCCCCTGATGCTCAGGGGCAGCCCTCTCCCACCAGGTGGGCGCTGAGCTTCCCAAGAGTGTGGTTTCCCTAGGGAGGGTGGTTGGTGCCAGGGCAGGGAAGGGGTGAGGACAGAGACACACCCTGAAGGCAAAGTAGAGAGAAGTGAAATTGCTAAGGGACATTGGTTAACTGAGAAAGAAAGACAGCATGMTCCTTTCCAGTATTCTAAACAGGCCTTCTCTTACATAGGCCCACGGGCTGTCGGGTTATGGGCATAATTAAGCTGACTCTCTGCTTTGCCAGGAAAACGAAAATGCGACCTCAAATGGAAATGAGTAACTAAAAGACACATCCAGGCACATAGAAATGATGGGCATGGACCCCTCTCCCTGTGTTCAAATGCAATTGAACAAAAGCCTCAATGCTTTCTTAGGACGAAACCAAAGTGAAATGTCCCAGGATCAGGGCCCGGTAACCCACACAGTGCACCTTTAATTTTTCAAGGGTTTTAAACACTGTTGGCTTTGCCCCAGGAAATCATTCAGAACTTGTTAGGACAGGGATTCACTGGGTTCAGATTATTTGGCAAAACCCATTATTTACCGGCAGGCAAAGCACATAGAGGAGAGACCAAGGGGGCAGCATGCCAAAGAGAACTCGTTTTTACCTGCATAGAACTCGGGACTGTAGACGGCACCCACAACTGGATTCAATTTCCAGCCTTCAAACAAATAAGCAAAAGCGTTATTACCACCTGGAGTCAACAACTTTCATCACTGCAAAGTAGCCGCAATTCAAATCAGTTGAAGGTTTTTCTGATTTAAAAAAAAAAAAAAAAAAAAAAAACTAAAGAATCTATATTTGGGACATGCATTAAAATATTTGCATTTGAAAACTATACATTGAAACGGATTTATGCCCTTCTTTGATTTTCTGCCAACACAAGTTAATGGGATGGAAACTGCTAGCCAGCTCCAGGTGAACCTTCTGAAAATGATGTGATTAATTTTCTACCATATCAATAACATACTCCGACGATTATCATTCCTAATTATGACCCTGGGACTGGAGGAATTCTGAAGTGCTTTATGAATACTGAAGAAAATGGTACTTTATCCCCTGGAGATTTAGTGTGGAATATATTTTAATGCATCCAGGAGCCATAAAAATTCTTAATCAGCACATGATATCTAAGGTAACTTTCAAACACCCTGTCCATGAGATTAACGGAATCCTGTAATTTTCCAAATGCTTTGGATGGAAAGTTTTCTTTAAAATGAGTCCTGGCCCTTCAGAAATTTTTCTCAAGAAAAGATCAGACAAGAAAATTCACAAGTGGAGACGCAGGTGGACGTGACCCAGGGAACATCTCCTCAGAATGACCATCTCCTCAGAATGACCATCTCCTCAGAATGACCATCTCCTCAGAATGACTATCTTTGGGAGTTGTGGTCTTTCCTATTGGAAAGTCTTCAGGAGTGGGAGACTGTACACTAGAGGACTTCTTTGTTTCTTTTCTTTTTGGTACAAGGGATTRAACCCAAGGGTGCTTAACCACTGAGCCACATCCCCAGCTACTCTTTTATATTTTATTAGAGATAGGGTCTCACTGAGTTGCTTAGGGCCTCACTAAGTTGCAGAGGCTGGATCTGAGTTCTCCATCCTCATGCCTCAGCCTCTCAAGCTGCTGGGATTACAGGCATGCACCACCACACCTGGCTCATTATAGGATTCTTGAAGAACAGAGGAGGCTGAAGTAGTGCTCTGCCTGTGTCCATGAGCAGAAAGTCAAATACCAAAGCTCCTGAGAAAGGGAGATAGATGGTGCCCCTGGGTGTGAAGGAAGACATTTCTGGAAACAAGAACTCTATGGGACTTTCCGGAAAGAAGAGGTCTGACTCTCTACCTGGCCTAAGTGAGGCACCTCCCTGAGCAGCTGAGAGGTGTTCCTGAGATCCATTGAGTAAAACAGAGGCCCCAGGATCTGTCAAGATCCAGAACTTTCTAGAACTTTCTAAGAAATGTGTTGCTTCTAAGAACTTTCAGTTCTAACCTGAAAGAGCTGAATGGTTTGCTTTCTTAGGATAAAGTCTTTCAAAGAGAACTTGGATCACCTGCAAGGTATTAACGGGGACTCCTGGGCTCCCCTTTAGAGGTACAGAAGGGGACAAGAAGTTCTAAGGCTTTTTAAAAGTCTTTACATGTGACACCGTCCTCTTTCACACTCACCATGTTTTGCCTTAAAGAATTCACAGCATGTTTTTAATGAAGGTGCAAAATGACTTCAATTTCCCTCACTGAAATTCCACCACTTCCAAAACAAGAAGAGGGGACATGGGGCTCACACCCACACCTCAAGTTATTTGGAGTCAAGAAAAATAAATGGAGCAGTGAGTTTGCATTCAAGGTGTAGACATCTTTAATGTCTTCCATCTTCCTAGTACTTCACAGAAGTCTAGAAAGCTGAAATATCTGGAATCACACAAACTGAGTAATTAGTGATTYTTCTCCTTCTCCTGCCCCTATTTCTCCATCTCACACCTGCTTAGGGTCCTACTTTTGGGGCCATGGAGATGAAGCCTGTTCATCCTCAAACTCAAGTTTTGTTTCTTGTATACATCCTCATTAGCTCCCCTACATACGTTTTTTTTTGGTAGGTAATCCTGGGGCACACTATTAATTTTGATGTCACTGTCAAAGATTGTAAATTATGCCAATGACCTTTTATTATCTTAAAGAAGTGGATTTCTCAGAGATGTCTAAGACTGTCCAGAAATCTCATTATTCTCATCTGCCTTCATCTTCCTTGTTTATTTGGGCCAAAAATCCATCCATCCATCAGTCCATCTACCCATCCATCCATCTATCCATCCATCCACCCATCTGTCCATCCATCCATTCATCCCTTTGTCTGTCTATGTATGTATGTATGTATGTATCTATCTATCTATCTATCTATCTATCTATCTATCTATCTATCTAGTAACTGCTTATGTGTCTACCTCTCAACTGTCTTGTCTGCCTGCTGATTTGGCACCTATCTGCCTATCTATCCATCTGTCATGGATTTTTTATCTGCCTGCCTACCTACCTATTATCTCTCTGCCTATCTGTTTGCCAAGTGTACTCAAGGAAAATTTTCCGTCAGTCTAAGACTAATATAAATTAAATGCCATTCTCCCTGGTTAGGTCGTTCACGCCATCTCACATCTGAACCACCAATTGAGAGAGGTGAGTAGTAAGGTCTCCTCTGTGAGAAACCAACTTGGAATGTGTGAGCTACAAAAGGTAATGCCTCTGCTTGGGTGGTCATGGGAGCATCAGTGCAGATATCACAATTCTTCCTGTCCCTGTCCTTTCCCCTGACTGAGGCTGCTCCCCTCCCACCACAGGGACATCAGGGACTTTTCTCCATGGTAGGACAGGCATGAAGACTCAGCTTCCAATCTCCACAATCCTAAAACCTTGCTCCTTCCCAAGTCAAAGGAGCTGCCCTCATTCCCTGGTCTCCTCCTGTTCATCTCCTGATGAATACTTCTCCCCATTCCCTCCTGGTCCTCACCTGGGATTTGCAATCCACTAGAGAATACTCTGTTGGGCCTAGAAAACTCCTTCCCTTCTTCTCCACCGCCACCATCCCAGACGGGGACACTTCTACCTCTTGCCAGACACGCCCCATAGCAAGCTCACTAGCTGCTCTTCCCTTGTTCTTCCTCCCTCCCTCTCTGGCCCCACTGCAGTGGCCACAGTGATGTGTGAGAAGTTAGTTAGACGTGTCCCTCTGCTGCTCAGAATTCAACAGCTTCTTTCTGGACCCAGGATGAACACAGATTCCTTACTTTGGTCCAGAAGCCCACGCCCTCTGACGTTTGCCTGTTTCTTTTGTACCACTGTCCTCTTCTCTCCAAGCCACAGTGGCACTGGTCATTCCAATCTGAATACAACCACCCAAGACCAATCTGGATTCAGACTTTGCCCCCTGTGCCTGGAGAACTCTACGCAGCTCTTCACAAAGTTGTCTTGGTGCATTAGATCTTTGAATTCTTCCCAGAGTATGCTGCTTTCCCACCTTTCTTAGAAGAGTTTTTCTTTGATTCAATGGCCACTTATATTTTTTGCATGGCTGTTTAGCACCACCTGAATTTTCATTTTTCTTCTGTGTTTGTTCTTATTCTCTATAACCATCTCATTAAAATGAATGGTAAAAGTGGGCAGGAACTGCTGTCCATCGTGAATCGCCACCACCTGAAAAGTTTTTCAGGCAAATATTAGGTGCTCCGTAAACATTTCCTTGGTTTCCTTCTGAAAGAGCAGAAGGCACACAGAGCTTTCCCTAATGGACTCATTGCCTTTGGGCTCAGGTTGTTTCCTTCCACCCTCCGCCGACCTACTTCCTGATAGATGCCGTATGTCTAATGAAGGACCTGCTAGCGACTGACTGTCTTCCAGGGAGAGGCAATGAGAATCCAGCCCTTAATATCACCTCTGCTCAGATTTACAGACCTTGTGCAGGCTTATGTAAATGAATGCAAATCATATGCAAATGAACCCATAGTTTCTGCAACTCCTTCTAGTACCTGGAAGAGACCCTTGGGATAACCCTGCTGGAGATGATGAGCCTGCACTGTCAGGGAGACGGGAAAATGATCCCGTTTTAAATTTCCTAGGCAGTTTGTGTACGTCCCCAGGCCTTGCAAATTCAGAGATTTTGATCAAGGACATTAAACTGAACAATGAGGCTTACAACAAAAAAGAGAACAGCTGATAAAGCCCACCACTCCCAGCATCCCAGGGCCTCCCTACAACAAGGCAATGGAGCAGAGCCCTGGCACGTTGGGTCTTGCTCCAAACCAGACACAGGAGTGGTTTAGAGAGAACCCCCTGAGGTTGGGCCTCAGGAGCTGCAYCTAAATCAGCAAGCACTTCTCGCCCCAAATTTAGCTTGCCGTCCTTTTTTAAAGAACAGACCAGAACCCCCAGTGTGGGCTACCCTTGATGGGAATTAACAGGAACCCAAAACACATGTGGCCTTCTCCAGGGCTCTGCTGGGCTGAATTTCAAAGAAATCACATTCCAGAAAGTACCCTCAAACCCCCTCCAGGGGTTCAAGAACTGCAAAGCGGGGGGGGGGGCTTCCTAAAGGATGCAGCAAAGGTGCCAGAGACTGGCAGCTGAGGGTGCAGGAGACAGAGCCCTGATGTCAAAAGGAAGGGAGGCTAATTGGTAATTGCACATCATTTACAGGAGAGTTTGGGTTTGGTTCACACAACATTTGTTTTGTTTTTTCCTAAATGTGGATTTATGACCAACTTTTAGATTTTATCAAAAAGACATGCTTTCTGGTGCTCTGGAAATGGTGCTAGAGATGGCCACTTTGAGTTCAGAATCCCCCCAGACAGCTCTGTCAGCGAGGAGGGGTCTCTAGACAATGAAAGATAGTTCAACACTGAGCTTCCCAGACCCTCTCTGCCTGTTCATTTTGTCTRCTCAGTCCTTGTTAGTGTCTGGATACTGGATCCTTAAACGGGTGCCTATCAGGAATTAGCATCCACAGTGAAAAAGGAACCAGATGACTACTTAGTATTGAGATTGTTGGGTAATTAAATAAAATTGTACTGCAAATTATTGTGAAAAAAAATCAGGGTGCTTTGCAGACCTAACGATGGATTGAGTGCTTTCTCTCCCATACYTATGACAAATATCTATGACACCGTGACAGGTTCAGGTCCCATGATATGTTCAGTTCCAACTTGAGAAAACTGGTGTGGGTTGAGTTGAAACAACTTRCATCCAGTTCAAAGGCCAGTGAGGAGCACAGCTGACGGAGGAAACAGAGCCCCCCTCTCTCTATGGTCTGGGAGGCGTGGGTTCACTGTTCATCGCTTCTAAAAATCTCTAAGAAAACGAAGCAGTCATGTCTAATGCCCAGGCTCCACCCTCTTCCTGGAAGTCCCTCCATATCCAGATCTTAACTTGATTGGCAGAGCCAGCTCTTGATACCAGTGTACACAGGGCACTCGGCTCCTTTGTGCAGGTAGGTCTTCTTGGGTGTAGGAGTCRATGGTGTGATTCCCTCTTTGCAGAGCATTCTGACAGGTCCAATTTCCAAGCCTGTATTTCCRTCCACAGCATTCTCTCACATCCATGCCTAAAAGTCCTGGGAACAGAACCTGCACACTCCCTAGCTGTACTGACCACCATCCTCCACAGCAGCACCTCCCAGGAGCGGGTCTCTCACTACACCTGAGGTCAAGTCTTGGCCACCATTGGAAACTCCTCAGGTGCTAAAACTTTGGTTGGATACATGATGGAAAGGATTCGTGGGTGGGATGCGGGCCCTGAGGCCTATATTTCTCCACTTGAAGATAACTTGAAACTTGGAGGACCAATAATTTGTAATTCTGTTAAAGCATGATTTCCATGGTTTGTGATAATGGATTATACAGCTAATGAATGAACCTCAGTGATAGCTGTATTTTCTCACTTCAACACGACTTCCTGGATCCTGATTTATCTTTCTTCCCCATACCTGTACCATCTTCTTAGGATTTTAAGGACCCYGTGGTTTCCAAACAGTAATACCACACTGCAATTTATGGGCCATTTTGTTTATAGTGGTGACATTTACGTCATGATCAAAAGAAAAGACTTCATTCATTACTTCTCTCATCTTGCCTCAGTGTTTACTCTAAAATAGAATGAATGATGTCCTTTTTGCAAGTTTTCATTTGGTGCCTTTAAAATACTTCTCCTAATGCATACAGAGAATTCYAGAAGGGTTGACTATTTATGAATTGGCTTTGAATTGTGTCCAAAAGTACAACAGGTATGCTTTCCATAGTTATGGATCTGTAACTCTTACTTTGAAATCAATGTGTATATGCATGTATTCACATGGCTTACAGAATAATATTTGGCTTCCTTGTTTCTCACTTGGCACACATGTGCACCTTYGCCAGGCAGGCCCACACACCTGCGCTTCCACGCATGTGCACACAGAGCTGTGACTTCATAACTCAAGAAAATGCACAACAGTCAGGCTTACGTCACCATAGACAATAGGCAAGTTGCAGAGCTACAGTTTTTACCCAAAGAGATGGRGCTCCTGATACATAAATCAGAGGTTCACTTCTCTTCAGTGCTGGGAATTCAAGGTCAGTTGTTGAAATTGTCTACACCATTTAAGGSTCTCTTTTGGATTGTTGAAACCAGGAAAAGTGGTGAGAAGAAAAACAATTCTTGTGGTCTTTCAATTTAAAGCCACATTATATCAAGGGTGGACAATTTAGAAACAGTACCCTTTCTAAATTAAGAACAGACTGGCTGTGTCTACATAGCCATGGGCAGAAGGAAGAGGAGGAACGAAAAGTATCAAATGCTAATATTATTGTTTGTGTCCCTTAAACAAATGCAAAAAAGCAAACAATAAAGCATCAGTTTGCAGTGAGATTCTCAATACACCATGTCCATTTTTGTGGAATGTTATGTAACCACCCAAAAGAATTACTTTGGATCTCTATGTATGAATGGAAGAACTCCACGTTGATTTATCAAGGCCCATTAAAAGCAATGCACCATTTATGTCAAAAATGTGTACACAATGCTGTGAATCCTATTAAGCTACATCTACTATACATGTAGCATAAAAACACAACTTAACGCTGAAGGCAAGAACCTGTAACTGCTTCCTCTGAGTGGGACAGAGGAGAACAGGCAGGTAGTAGTTTACTAGTCAAAAGACTTTGGCTCTGTCTTGAATGTTTCCTTCTTTTGAAGTTGTTTTCTTTCTTTAAAGAATGCTGTTTCCATATTTTGTGTATAATTAAAACTTCAGATATTTCATATACTTTTACCTTTGATTGTAATAAAATTATATCATTTTTAAAAACATATAAGCCCAAGAAAAGTATTTYCTTGTCTCACAATTCAATGAAACTTTAGCATTTTGTGAAGTCGATTGGATGAAATCAGACTATCCACATATTTTTCTGTTACTTAAATATTTTTACTTATGGTAGGATCCTTCCTTGCCTTTATCCTGCTCATTTTAATGGGTATAATATTCTATTAAATGCATGCACTTAAATTTACTGTGTTACTTTCTTTTTAGTTTCTAATACAATTAAGAATGTGATTARCATAACCAATTTCCCCATGTACACCTTAAGAGAGATTATTTTGAGGAGGATTAGAGAATCAAAATGTTCTAACATTTTTAATAAGGTGTCATATCCATGTGGATGGGTTTTGTGAGTTTTGAAGAGCTTTCTTGATAGAAACAGGACTGCGCTGTCCTAAAGGGGTTTGTAATACACTTCTACCTCCTTCCCTGGTGCCAAGTGGCCCTGGGCACACAGAGAGGCAAGGCACGCATGGCCCACTCTCACATTCTGCTGTCCCACTGCAACTCACTCTAAGTCCCCCTCCCAGGCACCCCAGGCGCTGGGCATCTCTGGAGAAGACTCAAAGACAGAACCCCATTGAGTGGCCACACCTCTAGGAATGAGCAGTGATCAACAGGGACRTGGGGCTAAAAGGGCAGAAGAGTCAAACCTCCTCCTCCTGCAGTTTAACAGAGTAACAACAAATTACCCAACTAACTCCCGMATAATTGCTGGATCTCCATCCTGTGTGGGAGTCCTATCTAGAGAGGCGGGGAGGARGGCAGGCACACTTAACCTGAAAACTAGGTTTGCCTTTGCTGTGAAAATTATCCCATTGATTTAGGTGCTGCCTGCTGCCTGCTGCAGGTCAGCCGGAAGGACACAGGGGCCAGGGAGAGGCAAGGGTCCCTGTTAAGTAATGTAACAGTTGTAGAGCTGGAGAGGATTTCTCACAAAAGGCAGGGTCTACTTACCGTTTGTATAGGGGTTCACGGTCTTTTTATTTGTCATGACGCGAGCCGTGGCATTATTTACCTACGCACATAGAAAACTCCAATGAGCGCATATTCCAGGGCCAGCCCTCAGTTCAGTTAGTCGCATGCATTATGACTGTGATTACTTATTAAAAACAGAAAAACAAAACTAAAAAACTAAAATGCATTTTAATTTATAAAAGGCAATATAGGTGCATAACAAAAAATCATACATTTTTATAATTACATTTACTTCATAACCATTTTAACTTACAAATCATTTCAATAAAGCAATGTCATCTCATTTAAAAGTTTAATAAAGAGACAGTAAAAGCAAAATTAAAAGATACGGCATAATTGAAGATTTAAAAGCATGCGTGTACTCCATGGTAACACAGAAACAAGAAATCATTTTTTTCTTAAACATAAAATAAAGTTCATATGAAGGGACATGCAGTGGAGTAGAAAGGGAAGAGACAAGGTACAGGGAACATAAATGTCAAAAAAGGGACAAACAAGTTTAAGCCGTGTGCAACACTTTGGGAGGGAAGGACCCTCTAGAAGCAACATATAGCATTCAACACTTGGAACGAGAGCCTTTGACATCGCAGGAATTAACAAATCATTCAAGCTTTTAAAGTCACAGCTAACAAAAGGATAAAAGAGAGGGTGCATTGTGTAACACAATATGGAGTTAACAATCTGAGTAAGATGTGCACCGGTCATAACTCAATCCAGTCAGAGCCTCCCAGGCTAGCTTAGAACGTACACTCAATTACAGGCGTACCAATATCCAAAAAAATAGAGCATCAAGAAAACTTAATACAACAAGTCAGAAAACTCCACGTGGTAGATAGATATGTATAGAGATATATCAGCACTAAATACGTGAAACGGCAGATGGACTTCACCACTTACCATTCAGCACCATCGCCAGCATGGTTTGTATACAGTTACCATGGTTACTGAGAGTTTGGTGAGGGGCCTAAGCGTTACCGTCGAGGGGGGAAATGAAAGGCAAAATATGCAACATCTTACTCCAAAGACTACAGCATTTTTAATTGGTATTTTTTTTCTTTTTTTTWAAAGTTTTAACAAATATGACCCTGTGGCTACATGGAGGGGGATCCCAGTGGCACAAATAACAGACTCGGAGCATTCGAATTTTGGTACTTGGATTTTCAAAGAACAGGGGGAAAGATATTGAGCAAGAAGTCCTTTTTGGTTATTTAATTTACAATCAAAAGAATGCCAAAAAAAAATCCAATTGACTTCTTAAAAAAAAAAATGAAAGGTTCACTGACAAAGTCCTCTCATTTTTTTTTTTTTACATGAATCTTTAGAATGGCAACTGCTTTCACAATTTGGTTAAATTTGCGAACCACTGAGGATCCCTCTTCAACCCTGAAGTGAAAAGAAAAAGAAAACTCTCCTGCCTTTGATTTGATCTGCAATACTGTCTTCTCTTTGGAATCTACTGCACCCATTGTTCATAAWACATGGAAAATAAAATTAAAAAAGAAAAAATAAAAAAAAAACCTTTCCGATTAACCTTTCTTTTGTCTCACTTTTGCCATCCACCTTTCAGCAGTAATAAGATTAACACGATAAAGTAAAAATCAACAACAACAAAAAAAGTAAGGCCAGTTTTCCTTTTTATATATAGATAGATTTATATATATATATATAAACGATGAGAAGGGAGTGGGGTCACATACAAGACGCCAAAGATGCATCCGGAACAACAAATGAGCGTGAAGCAGACATTGATAAAAAAAGATGAAAAGGAAAATATTTTGAACATGCACCTCGATTTTACGGCCCTCTACCACGGTGCCGTGTAATTTCTCCCTCGCCCTGTCCGCATCGGCACTATTTTCGAAAGTTACGAAACCAAATCCCTGCATGCAGGAGGGAGAAGGGAAAACAACATGCATATTATTATTTCCATCAACGACCACTTCGTCACGTTCTCTCGCTTTAATTTCTACTCCTCGTCCTGACTTCAGTTCTGTAACATGCAAATTAGAGAAATTATAAGAGTACTAAGATGTGCAATTATTAAGCGACCAATGTGAACAAGATTGTTTTGTCTGTCACCGGTTAGCTGTACCCACCCCACCCACCCCCCAGGAAGAATTCCAAGAACGATTCCAAAAAAATACCCTTCTGAACGGCACTACAGAAGAAAGGAAACATAACGGAAAGAAAATGAGATCAAAATAAAGTTACGGTGTCTTCACAGAGAATAAAATGAGATAACGAGAAAAGAAAGAAAAGGGGACCACTTTCTGGACATGCAAATTAAAAATAAAATAATAAAGTAAAACGTGTGCACAGAATTCAACAGTGAATGCCAAAATCCTCCATCATTGCCTACGGAGTCATGCGGTGTGGTTTTAAAACACCTCTTCCTCATGCAACCTTAGGGTTATTTGAATTTGTCAATTCTACAGCCTTTACTTCTCAAAAAAAAAAAAAAAAATTTCAAAGCCTAAAAAAAAGGAAAGACCTTTTTTTTTTTTAAATATAGATAATAATAAATCTTAAACTCTTGGAGCGAATAAACAAAAATAATCACATGAAATGAATAGAAAGAAACTTCTGTTGATCAATAATGCAAATAATTCAAGGAATGGCTTATATTCATACCTCCCCTGCCCCCCGAATAACATCCATGCTTTTGAACCGAACAAATTTTCACATGACTTTGTTAACTCAAAAGGGAAAATGTGTATATGTATAGTCAAGTTCAAAGACGCTATGCTGGTATTCATCTGTCATAGCAACAGGTGGCATCTTAAGAAGCTCCATGGACAAAATGTGACTTAGAGTAACACTCTGAGCTCCTCCCCTTTCCCTGATGTAGGACAAATATACCCTTGGCTTCACCACAGGTACATATCGCTTCTAATATTTCAGCCTCAAAAACCAACCCCACTAAACTTCATCCTGTCAAAATCCATCTTTTGTCTCCACCTCACACTGTTCCTAAGAAGAGTACAGAAAATAGGACATATTATTTTTTTAAACCCCTAAACACATTTGTACATCTTGTTCAAAAATATGTACACCAACCTTTTGAACAATTCCAGTGTAAATTTGCCCAGCTCTTTGGGTTTTCAGTGTCAAGCGAGGGAAATAATGGGTTCTGTTGGGATTCTATTTGAGCTGGGTAAACCTTACGTCAAGGTAAGTAAATGTTTGCTCTAACTGCTTAGGTGAGGCGGTACGATGTTCGGTTTTACTGATAAAATGTGCAGTAATGACCAATAGGTAAGGAGCTATGATCGATTGACATCAGCTCCTGATTCCACGGGAATCTACTGTGACCCACAAATATAAGGCTGTTATACATAGGCTGCCTGCCYATGGGCCGGTCAGAGACGAATTTCTGCCGGTAAGTTTGGACTCACCCACTGAAGACAGGAGCTGCGGATGTGTTCAAGAAAGGGTCGACTGGTGGTCACTCGTCAGGATTTCACATTTAAAGAAAAATTAAGCTTCTTTACTTGGGGAGATTGGATGGAATAACTTTTACCATCCTTCCCAGAGTAAAGGTTTATGATCGGAAGAAGCCTGGATTACGTGGTCAATGTAAGATTACATGTTCCACAAAAGAAGGATTCTGCCTAGTTTTGTATACTTCCAAACTGGGTGCAAAAAAAAAAAAAAATCACTTGCTAATTAAATAGTTTTGAAAAAAATAGTTCTGCAAAAGGAAAGAGACAAATTTTTCCTCCTCTCTCTCTGTTCTACCTCTTGGCCAGTGGGTCCTAAACCTAGTTGAACATCAGAAGGAATAGGAAAGATTGGGCCCTGTGTCCTGTCTACCGGATCAGAATCCCAGAGTGGAGCCCAGAGAGCTGTTTGCCTAAACTGCTGCCTGTGTGACTCAGAGTGAGATAGCCATGACTCTTGTCACCCCACGTGCCATCACAAGAAGGACTTGGTTCTCTGTAATCAGTAGAATTTTGACAGAGTAATCTGTGGGGCAGCCTGAGTTTATAACTTCTCATCTGGGGCTTACATGTAGGGGTACCTTGAAGATTGCAATGTCCAAGGGTAGGCCACATCCTTTTTCTCTGTGGGACCAGCCACCTCTGATATCGTGGTGGGGAGGAGTAGCTTAGGTGAGCTGAACTCTGGGCACCCCTGCCCTGCATTATCCTGAAGGCTCTCGTGTCTCACTGTGAATCCTGCTGGCCTGAAATCAGCATGCTGTGTATCAAGGAGAGGTGAAGGGAGAGCTAGAAGCATCTTTGGGATCCTCAGGAAAGTGCCTACACTACAAGGGGAAACCCTAAACCTGTCCCCTCACTATCAGCTACTGAGAGGATTCCTTGAGATTTGCCAAGATTGGGTTTGAAACACAGCTAGCCCCAGAAATAGTCCTGCCAATACCAAAGAGGCTTTCCTAACCTCTTCCTTGGAAATTTCCATCTCCYGCTCAGGCCAGAGTGGCACGGCCTTCCCCGGTCCCAGGTCATCAAGTTCCCACCTGGGAGCTGCACTGGGACCAGAGAGTGGCCTGCAGCCCTCCCTACCACCAAGGACACTCTCTCCGGAGCCCAGGTGGCTTGGAYGGCCGCTGTCGTGGTTGGTGCCTTTGACCTGCCTCGCAGTCAGAACTGCATCTCAAGAAATCAGCCACCTGCAGTTCTTGAAAAAGATCACCACKTTTTTTTCTGTCTTGGCTTGGGGAGTGCAGGGACCACAGGAGCCGTGGCAGAGGAACCCCTTAAAGAGGAAGAGTGCAAGAAGAGGGCCACCCAGAAGGTGGCCGCTGCCCTTCATCTGAGAGGGAGCCTCCCAGGGTCAACTGTGACGGGGGCTGGRGTGGAGAGAGGACTCAGTGCTTCTTGCAGAGAAGACATCTGTGCCCCCCTTTGATGGGTGGGCATGATCAACAGGCCAGATGACAGTGGCCCCCAGATGGGCGGCCAGGCCAGCATGACTGGCTTATTTTAAAGCCTTTCTGTGGATCATCAATTCTGACCTTCCTCTACTGCAGTCACCTWGCCTTTTTGACCTCTGGAGCTTTAGGTGACACCTTCCTTGTTTGTATTTATGTAAACGCCCATTCTRTATCTTAGATAAAGGTCCTGAGCCGCCCTGGATGGGTGAATGGGATGATGTTTCCGTCTGTATGAGTCATCAAGGCCTTTAGTCTCTGGTGCAGGGAAATGGTATTTCTGAGAGGAGAGGTSGGGGAGGGTTTGAGTTTCTTTCCTGGTACGAGCACCATCCTGTCTACCCCTCCTGCCTTCTCCTCTCTGGCAAATGTCCACTCATTCCCCACTCTTGGCTCACAAGTCCCTTCTTTCCAGTAGCTTCCCAATCTCTAACAACACCGGTCTGCCTGTCTGGATCTCAACTGCCTCTCCCGTCAGCCAGGGACACGGCACACTTAATGGCCGTGGCTTGTCTTCACGGCCTGTCTCTCCCTGTGCCCAGGAACACCTCTGAGGACAGGAAGCACTACTGTCTTGCCCTGTGTCCAATACCCGCATCTGCACGGAGTCAAAGAGCAGACTGCGGATTTCCTAGGTCTGCCATTAAACCTGGCTGTATTCCCCCCAAACCATGCAGAGATAAACAAAATGATTTAATCTTCTAAAAGGAAAAAGGAGTGGGTTTCTCAACCCTAAATGCTATCCAACTCTGGTTCTCAAAGCCCAGTGGTGTTTTGTACCTGTGGTTTTTCTGTATACTTGGTATCTGTGTTTTCCTAAATGACTTAGGCTGCATGTTCCCAGAATATTCCAGAGGCTGCAGTGTATGCACAGGTGCCCATGCCCACGCACACACAGGCACAGAGCCGTCCGTCCTTGCTGGCACTAAGTGGCCTGCCTCAGGGACGGCACCACAGAGAATGAGTGGCCACAAGCGGAGTCCTGGCCCAAGAGGGCCCGATGCCTCCCGACTGTCTCTCCTGCACTGAGTGATAGAAACAAGGTCATCACACAGTTCCGTTTTCTGAACCACTAAAATGAAAATGCTCCTCTAAAGAAGGCCCTTTCCCATGAAAGATAATGTCGATGTGACAAATATCCCTGTGGGAGCCCCTGCCCCCATTTAGCAGCTCCCAGTTGGACTGTCTCAGTGACATTCCAGCTGCACCTGACCAATCCTCTCCCACCCCTGCAAGGCCAGCTCCTGAGAAGGAGCTACCCACTGAGAGAAGGAGGTTATTTTGGATGCTTCCAAATGCAAAAGAAAAATTGGGGAAAAAAAAAAAGCCTAATAAAGACAGGTTTGGGATGTGGCAAACTTAAATGGTCTTTTTCCCAAAGCCCCCAGAGACAGGCTAATCATGGGAATGACGAAAAGAAGCTCAAAAATAGCACTACCATTGTACTTTCAAAATAGCAAACCATATTCTTCTAATGTCCCCAAASAGCTCTGGAAAAGAATTCAATAGCTTTCTTCAACTGGCAAAAGTTTCAAAACAAAATATGAATTCAATAGAAAAGTTTTACAAAAAAGCAAGTTAACAACAAMAAMAAAAAACTTTCAACATAGGGGCGCGATAGGTCRACTCAGGGTTAGAACCTGCAGGCCAACATCGGGGCATCTTCCAAGACCCCCCCCAAGAACACATCAGGCCAGTATGAAGAGCATCAGGCCTGAATTTTGCTTTGTAGATGAGGAAGGAGTCCCTCTGGGTCATGATTTTCATACAAGATGCAGGAGGGTTAACTTCTCCCTCACTCCCAGCTAAGAGGCCAAACTAAACTGACCTGTGAGGAGAATGACCAAAAAACACCTGAAGTTAGAGAAGAAAGACAAAGTCCCTGAATGATCAAAACCTTGGAGCAGAATGGATTGATGTTTTTTTTTTTTTGTTTGTTTGTTTGTTTTTTGTTAATTCATCTGGCAGATCATCGTATCATCTTGTCCATGGCACAGAGAATGCTGGAATTTTCTTTCCTCCATTTGATCAATATTGTCCTATTCATTTAATATCTAATCTACTTAGGAGGGAGGAGGGTACAGATGGTCCAATCCTTGCCTCATTATGGACCCAGGACAGCGGCTCTGTGGCCTGAGACACACTGGATAAAACCAGCACTGATGTGACCCTCCTGGACCCTAAATTGTCCTACATTGCCTGAGAAAGGAAAGTCAGGGGGCCCAACTAGCATTTCTGTACCTGGTGAGCAGTTTCTCTCAACATCCAGTTTCATAGGAGAGGGAAACTTAAAATTCCCACGGCCCTGGGGCTGGCAGCTAGCCAACATAGCACAGCTGTTAAAGGCTGGCTCTCTGGTCACTGCAGCCAACATCCCTGTCCTTTTCTGATGTCACTCCCTGTTTCTCCMCAGTGTCTGTAGCTAGGCCTATGCCTTGTCTCCTCCAGGGAGATTTGGACGGGGATCTTGAATTTTCTGTGGTAGCTGTAAGAAGGGGATATTTTAGGGTCAATAGAAGCAGGATCAAGATTGGCCAAAGAGATGTTCTACATTCAGGTGAAGCTGTGACCYGGGTTCAAAATAGAAAGCCACTGTGCTTGTCCCTGGCAAGACAGATCTGGAAGGTTTGTWACAATGCTGATGGCTGGGCTCCAATTTCAGAGTTTCTGATTCGGTAGCTCCTGGCTCGAGCCTAAGAATCTGCATTGCTGACGAATATCCAGGTGATGCTAATGCTCCTGGTTTGGGACCACACTTAGCCACTGAGAGAGCATGCCTTGAAAGAGTTCTGCTTTTTCCTTCTTCCAACATATCTCTCTTTTGAAAAAGTGCTGGAACCTCTTTATACAAGCCCCTGACTTGTGCTAACACATTAGCTCCGGGGGAAAAAAAAAGTCTATTAAAAAATTGGGTTTCCTAAACAAAAGCAATCTCAAAGCAATGGTACATTGCATCACGCTAATGAATAAAATTATATTCAAAAGGTTGGTGTATATGAGATTTCCTCCCTTACGACCCAGGAAAATAACTGCACTTTATTAATACAGAATAATCACAATATTTACCTGCTTGTGAGACTATCAACTCACTTTTTAATATAAAGAACATAATTATCACTGAAAAACAAAAATGTAGCAACAGCATTATTTTTTTAAGCATGGGTAATTTTCCTCTGGAAACTTGAGATATGTATATATAGAAAACAGCAATTTTAAATTACCCCCTACACGTTTTTAAACTGACCCCAATGGATTTCCCACCACTTTGGAAATGGGCAGGGGTCTCTCAAGAAATTCCCATTGACGTGTATTTCCACAATATTGGGATTAAAACAGTGCAGTTGTTTCCCCTTATTCAGAGCAAACATGTTATAATAAACTAAACAATTCTAACATGAATTAAGTTGCTTACCTTTGAGCCGCGCTCATTAAAAATAATTTCAACATCTAAGATTTTACCAAATTGCTGTAAAGAAATAGAAATATTTTATAAGCAAAGAGAGAAATGGACTAAATTGTATGATGCACACTGGTAATTGTTCCCCAAATCAGATTTTTCTTCCCTCATTTAATATCAAGGATATACATTTTACATTTTCTACTAGTAAATAATACATTTTAAACATGAAAAAAAAAACAAACACATGCACACATAGCATCTCTTGAGTGGCCCTTCGCTACCAGGTGAGGTGTCCCATCAGGGACTGGTACAAAATATTAATTGGAAGGTTAATTCTGCGTTCCTTTCTTCATGTGCACGAGAGCTTTCCCAGGCACTGAGCAGCAGAGGTTTAAAATGGTGAAGTCCAGATAATGACCCTCCCAGACGATTCCACTAGCCTCTCAGAGACACAGGCTGGATGCTGTGGGATTCTGATAATTAAATGTCCAGCTACAGTAGGATGGTGAGGGCGTGGGCTCTGAGCTCACATCAAAGCTAAGAACAGCCAGACCATGTGAGGCAAGTCAACTATAGACGCGGAAGCGAGTCCACCATCCAGGTACCCAGCCTCACCAAGACATCCACCCAACCGTGATGGCCCAGGCTGAAGTGTGACCTCCCTCCCTAGGGGACAGTCATATGGCTAAAGAAATCAGCTTTAGACCAGTAACACAACCAGGCTTTAGGAAAAGTCTGCAAGAAAGTTTCTGATTAAAAATAAATTGGCAAGCCAGGGTGAAGGCCCACGCCTCTAATCCCATTGGCTCGGGAGGCTGGGGCAGGAGGATCACAAGTTCAAAACCAGCCTCAGCAACTCAGGGAAGCCCTAAGCAACTCAGCGAGACTCTGTCTCAAAAATAAATAAACAAAATGAAAAAATGAAACCAATGAATTGGACAGCCAGATAAAATACAGACACCCTGTCCAACTTAAATTTCAGAATTTCTAGGATAAGTATGTTCCATCAAATATTTAGGACATACTTATGCTTAATATGTGTTATTTGCCTAGAATTCAAATTCAACGATTATGTTTTTTTGTCTGTTTTGGTTTTTACCTGTGAAATCTGGAACTGCTTGTGAGAAGTGTGTACCTAGTAACTTGTTTCTCACTTGGAAAGAGGATGTGGGCTCTGAGGATGGAGCCACCTGATGACCCCAAGTCCCTTCCCTGAATTTGGAGTCAGGGTTCTGGTACCCTGTGAAGTGGGGCTCCCCTTTCTTGGGTCCAGCCCACACCGCATAATGCAGGTGGATGGGGTGATGTCCAATGACGCTTCATCGTGGAGTGGAACAAATGCCCGTCTTAGTGACGAGAACAAAGAAACAGAGGAACATAAAGAAATATCTCTCCTCTATCTTTCTTTAATTTTGTGCTTGCCTGTCATTCATTCCATTTGCTTGTGCATTTGAGATTTAATGGCACCTCTCTTGCCCTAGGACAGTATTTCGTCTTTCTCCCGTGGGTGGACAGTTAAGCGTGCCTCTTACAGCAGAGGGCAGAGGACTGGGTGGGGTTAGGGACCAGCAGTGTGGACAGGGGGCACAGAGTGAACACAGAGAGCCAGGGACAGCTCGCCTGACCCATGGGCCTCACTTGGAGAGCATCAGGAGACCCAGAGAGCAAAGGTCAAGGGGAGCCTTCTGACACCCAGGAAAGACCCCTCGGAACGCCCAGGGGCTATCCTTTAGAGCACACAAGGAAGTCTGCCTCCCTCGGACAGACAGAAAACACACACACACAGGCCTGGAGCCGGTAGGCAGCTCTAGACCTCTAGATGAAAATTATTTTGGCTATGGAATAGAGTAACTCGGGGCTTGTCATTCTATGCCTAGAAACTTATCCTACCCAGGCCGGGACMACCGCCTTCTCCTTCCTGAGCACAAGTCGTTCTTCATCTTGGAGACAAGGGAATGGACAGGGAGTAACTAAGAGAGAAGGACATGCAGGACGTACCACTGGTGGGGACCGCAGACTGCCCTCCAAGAAGCAGGCAGCAAACTCACCCTGTGATTTGTGCACAAAGGTTCTTTGGGTCAAAGAAATATTCTTTTCTTTTCTTTCTTTCTTTCTTTCTTTCTTTTTTTTTATTAGCATCTTCACTGCCAAGTTTTGGTCAGAGAAAAAACATGCAAAAAAGAAGAGAAGAAAATCTCCCAGCTCAGGAAAGGAAGGACCAGGCGTGGAAAGGTAAAGGGAGTCTTCACGGTGAAGAGCCCTCCAGCTTCATGAGGTCTGAGGACCAGGGATTCCGACACAGGGGCCTCAGCATTCGGTCCCCACAGAGACGAGGTATGCATTTCAGGCCTGAGAGCTTTGCAGCACACAGATTTAAGCAAAGGGAAGCCTGAGAAGGATTTCTTCCACCACCAGGAAGCAAATGTACTGGGGAGCCCTCTGTAAGCAGTGGACACAAAAAAAACCTCCTTTGAAATAAGATCTGCTCCTGGAGGGAACCGATCTCAAAGCAATCTCAGCAGAGGTTGCTCCCTAAATGAAACCATGACACCCTGTGTCCTGCAAAGATCTCAGAGGTTCCCTCCTTTGGCAGTTGCCACGGGGTTGATGGTTCTCCAAGCCAGAGAAACGAGCCGGAAGAAGAATGCTAATGCAAGCCCCATTTCTAAGACAGTTGTGTGCTATATTTATAGTATCAACAGTTTAATTGGGAAGTTTGGTGCTAATGATGTAAACACAGCTGGCACATTTTCAATTTCAACAGACACGACTCATCCCAGCCCTAACTAGTGTGCGTCTGCTCAACCGCGGTGTGCAGCAGTCGCGTTCAATAAAGTCTCCAATCCACGCGSAGTCCCGGTTGCTGTTTCAAGAGCAAAATCCGGAAGCTTAGCCGCACGCACTTGGGCAAACATGTACCAAGCACTTTTAGACRTCCTCAGATCAAATACTATTTCTCTGAAAAACTGCAAAGGATGTGCAATGGATACAGCATAAAACACGAAGGTAAAGGTTAGTTCAAAGCGTGGGCAGACAGCCTAAGAGAGCACGGACTTCCCGGTTCCCCTAAGGTCTGTGCAGAAGCAGGGGGTTCCTTGCCAGGTCCCCCAAAATGACTTCACTCCTCATGACACCACGGTAGATGGAACTTTGCATTTTCACTGCAGGTATGAGGAAGCCCGTCCGTTATATTCATCAAGTGTGATCATGAAAGCATCTCTCACACATGTTGACAAATMGYACATCTGTTTATCAGTGACATTAAAGAGAAACTTGAGTGGATCCTTCTCTTTCCCAGAGGGTCGGCATCTTGATAACAAAAGCAAGGCTGTGACATCCATGAGACTACTTTGCAAACTGGAGATCCAGAGTCATCGAGCAACTGTCTCTGCAAACAACCTTATGATGGTGTGAGCTGTTGCAGTATTCTGCTGTGCCGTGCCCCCTGCCTCTCATCCCAAACCCAGAGAAGCTTACATKTAAGATATTGAACTCATGAAGATTCCTATTTGGGAGGAACTCACTGCCATCAGTTTGGTGGAAATCCTCAAATTTCTTTCATGGGATCAAAAACTTGAATGCAGGATCCCTCACATGCAGACACACCCAACAGGAAGGCGGCCAGGGCTGGACCAACAAAGCTTCCAGAAGATGTCTGGAATCATGGCCCCTAATACTATGAGAGAGCCACGTGCTCGCGCCCCCCTGCTGTCTTGGAATGGCCCTGGCTTCTGTATGCGGTAGCCACCTAACTCCTTGACCAATGAATGTCCCGTCTTATACGGAGAAAAGAAAAAAGAAATCTAACATGAGCCAGAAGATGAAAAGCCACACATTGGAAGAGGAGCATCCTAGAGAGAAGAAAGTACGGGGACGAAGAGCCCGCGGGGGAGGAACCAGGATTCCAACCCCAGGGAAGAGGCTGCAGCCACCGAAGTAAAGGGGCACCGCCTGGAACCCTCAGAGTCAGGGATGGTTCCAGAAGTCGCCATGAACACGGCAAGTTTTAGGCAATTTGAAAAAAAAAAAAGAGGTTGTTTTTTGTGTCCTGATTTTTTATTTGTTAGTTTGTTTTGGGGTTTTATTTTTATTTTTATTTTGGTACTAGCTGAGGACTGGGGTATTGAACCCAGGGGCATGTAACCGCTGGGCCACATCCTCAACCCCCCCCCCCTTTTTTTTAAATTTTGAGACAGGGTCTCACTAAGTTGCTGAGGTTGGCCTTGAACTTGTGACCCTCCTGCCTCAGCCTCCCAAGCCGCTGGGACTGCTGGTGTGTGTCCTCATGCYTGGCTATTGTTTTGTTTCAGCTGTGAAATCTCTGTGCCCATATTTGACAAAGGGGACAAGGGGGTGGGGGCAGAAAGATCTTTGTGTTTTTCTCTAATTGTCCTCATTGTGACCCCTGCCAAAGTGAAGGGACAAAGATGGACACAGTGCCTGAGACATGAAGATGTCTCGTGTCCCTAGGACTTGACAAACTCCTAGCTGGATGAAATGGGATTTCTTACAGTCACCATGACCTGAAAGAGGAAATTGTGTTAAATCCCCTGTACCCCAGCAGCAAGCCAGCCAGAGTGTCACAGATGCCTTTCAGTGTCATTCACGCTGCTAAACGTATCCTATAACAAGATACGGCTTTGCGACCACCAGGGTTTGGCCAAGAAGAACAGATTTTTAGAGCTGAAATTGTGTTTCTTTAGAATGATGTTGTAAACCAGGAGGCCTCAGAGTTATTGCAAGGGGCCCAGGAATCCAGATGTCCCCAGTAATTTTTATAGTTGAGACCCACAAAAAAAAAAAACCCTCACATACTTTTTAAAATGGACACAGATGCTGTATGTGATGCCCAGAATTAATTTCCGTGTTAATGAAATGTACACTGCATTTTCTTAATTGATAGATCCTAAGTGTTTTTATCCTCTTGCCGAATCGACATCTTGTTATTACTTGAATGTTGACTTAAAAAAATAGTTGCTCTGACACCAGTAGATTTTGATCAAGGTTTGATAACAGACATTGTGACATTTTGGCAAGTTTCTTTTCCTAGACATCTGCCCTGCCTCTATAAGAACAGAGAAGTTCAGACATTAATGTAAGCAGGATCCCCTCTCTGTGATTTCTAGGTGTGAATGTTTTGAATACCGCTCTGACTTCGTAATGTAGACTCGGGTAAATTTCAAGACCAGGGAGGGAAAACGCCCTAAAGGGTGGAAATGGGGGTGTGCCACAGCACAGGACACCAGGAGAGTGTCAGGATGGTCGTTAAGGGGCTCRAGTTCAAAGCCCACATCAGAGTGTCACTTGATGAGGGAGGATAGGCTGAACAGCAAGACATCTTCCTAACCTGACATTGCAAAGAGAATATAATTCCTCTGACTGTCCATCATTCAAAACCCGTCTCACTGCTTTGCACACACTTAACCTCGACTCTAACTTTGAATGCTCTGCACTTTTCAAAGTCATCTTTGACCTGAAAGTGCCCGAGGGTATCTCTGTTCTGCAAGAGTTAGAGGGCTTAACTCAAGGTTATTACCAAATGAGAGAGATAAAAGTGCAGAAGTTGACCTTTTCCTCCGAAATGTCAGGATTCGAGCCTGGGTATCTTAAATATTAGGATGCCTGCACTGCTTTTGTGTCAAATGCATACTTGATAAGCATCATGTGTGTTAAAGAAATAAAAGGTGCAAGCTCAGCCCCAAATCACAGAGCACTTGAGTGAGGACCCAGAGCTCCCCTTTTCATGTAGAGAACAACACCAACTCTGCTCAGAACAAGGCATTGCACCGAGTAGCTTCTGATTCCTTCCGTAACGTTTGCATGCATCCACCTACTCTTAGAAGCAGCCCACTTTTGCTGGAAATCAAATGTTAAGGATGTAGTTCTTTTCATCGAATCCACAGGCCCTCACTACCATCGCTGAGACATTGTGGACAAAGGCACTGACTACATCTGCAAAAAACAAACACTACCCAAGTCCTCTCATGGCTTTGTCCTTTGATGGAGCTCAGACCAAAGAGATGGAAAACTCATCCTTTCCCAAAGTGGAGCGTTCAGATATCTTCCAGAAAAAGAATCAGTGTCAAGACGACCTATGAGCGAGCAAAACTATCGTTTATTTTCTCAGGGTGGGTGGTGGCTTCTGACCGGTTCTGTTTCACCAGGGTGCTTAGGTAAGGCTGTCCTTTGTCAACAACTCTGAGTCCTTGTCCCTGATGCCAAGTGCAAGAATCAAATCAAACGTATTATACCTGGGGGGGGGTGGAGGATTGTCATTGTTCTTGTTGTTTGTTTGTTTGTTTTAAACTAAGCTTTAAGCAGAAGGAGTCATCCTACTGCAGCTGTGTCCCCAAACTTAAATGATCAGTGCCTGGGAAAGAGCGGGGAAACGCAGAAACGTGTCCCGAGTCACCTTTCCAGAGAAGCTGGCCACCTCAATAGCACGCAGGACCATGATGATGGCCCATGTTTCTTTTAGCTATGACCTGAGGTCCCAGGCCACTGAGCTTGGGATCGTCAATGGGCTTGTGTCAACAGTGGGTGATCTACAGGTTATTTTCCATTTGATATTCAAGTTACTTTTTGGAAAACCATTTGGCAAAATAGAAACACAGTGAGCCTAAGCAGAACAGATCCGCTGCAACCCTAGAGGGGTCCTGAGCACCGAGTTCCAGCAGCAGACGGCCTCTAACACGCCTCGCCCACCCCGGGGACATACGTCACCTTAGTACTGGGCGCAGACAGAACTCACGGGAGGCAGCGAGCTCTGGGGGCGCTGGAGGAGAGAGCAGTACTTACACCAAACATTTGCCGGAGGTCTGGGTCCCGGAACCGGAAGGGGATATTGGAGACATGCAGGCGCTTGGGCTGAGACTTGTTTTCTGTGTTTTCAGAAGGCTGCGTCTGGGGCTGGCCGTCCGGTGGTGCTGCGTCGTCTGTCTGCTAAAGGGACAAGAGGAAAGCAGARTCTCTTGAGTGGACCCAGATGCTCTGTCCCAGATGCGCCTCCCCACCCCCTTCACATTAGACAAAATGGCAGAAAAAGAACAAGAGAAGGAAGTGCTCAGATGTCCCTCCACCTGTGTTTTTTGAGCATCCACTGGGATCTGGAATTCGGCAGAGAGAAATGCAGAGAAAAATCCTTGCCCTCRTGGAGCATGATTTTTTGTGGGAGAAAGAGAACAAAACCCATTAACAAATGTAGAGTTGGAAAGAGGAGATGTGGAGATAGTGGAGAAAATTAAGGAAGGGAGGGGGTGGAGGGGCTGGGGCAGTGCCGAGGTCTTCATTAAAGGTTATCGCTATTCCTTAACCAGTGTGGCTCCGAGTCTTAAGATATACCTTCCTAATCACTAAGGTGCACTGATAAAATACTAAGAAATGCYCCAAATTTGGAAATGCCACTCAACATTCTGCAGCACAAGGAATCAGCTGATGATCTGTTTTTAAGGGTCAAATTTAGTTTCTTAGTTGTACACAGACCTGTGCTATCTTCCACTGTTGACCACATTTGCCTTTTAAATTTAAGTGAATTTAAATAAAGTGCAAAATGTGTTTGCCTGCACTGGCTGCATTTGAAGTCCTCATCAACCACATGTAGCTAGTGGTTCCCTCCTGGACAATGAAGATACAGATAGAGGACTTCCATCTCTGCAGAAAGTTCTGCCAGGCTACACTGGCACATTTGACCTAAGGTTACGAGTGTAATGCATTACACCCCACCCCCACCCTTGCCTGAAAAACATTAAGCCTGGATAACATGAGGGTACACTGAAATCCTTGCATAGGCTGGAACTGGGAATAAGACACAGTTATGCGGTATTACTGAGCTGGTGCCCTTTCAGATAGACTTCATTTTTAGGTACTTTCTCTGCAATTCGCTTACGCTGCCTAGAGGGGGCAGTCGGTGCCACCGACATCAGATAACCCACTTCTTTAAAACTAAGATGGAGAGTCTATGCCAAAGCCCATCGAATTTATGAGCAAGGAATCATCCTCACCTATTTATAAGCCATTTAGAAGCATATAACTGAGACAAAACCATCAATGCAGGCAGCCAGGTGTAAAATAATGGAGACTTAGCAAAGGAGACAATCTTACAGAGTGGGATGTAAAAGAAACATCCAAATCACACGGGCTTCATTAGCGACGTTCTCATYAACCCTGGTATTTACTGGACAATTTCATTTGCATTCTCTTTCCAAACGTACCCCGAATTGCATCTTAAAGTCAAGACCTCCTGCGGGCTMAAAAAGCCCTTCTTCTGAGGGGCACTGGTATCGACCGTCCACCCAGGTGACTTCTYGGATGTTCAAGGCAACACCAGGATGACAACAATGAGGAAGTCGTTCCGCCTGTGCCGTGACAGGGACAGGAAGAAGGATGGCCTGAGTCTCCTAACCAGAGCATGACAGATAATGAGCCTGCGCCCCCTGCATGGCTTTGTGGAGACTGAACGCCGGCATCTGTGCCAGCTTGGGGGTGCTCTTGGCCCCCCATATGCTCTTGGCATATGATGATGCGTGCGGAGTGCTCCGCTGTATGGAGTGACGATGATTTCAGGAACGTCAAGAGAGGGGGAAAGCTCCCGTGGGAAACACAGGGGAAAGGTCCTCATTGGCTCACTCGACACACCTTTAATGAGCAACTGCTATGGGCTGACCACGTAAGTCAGTTCTCCGTCCCATGCAGTTCCCAGGTGAGTGCAAGAGAAAGGCAGAAAAAGACAATTATCAACACAGGTGGCTGGGTGCTGGGGTGAGAGTGAATCACACAGGGCTGGGTGACCTTAGGGTTGGGTGACCTTAGGGCAGGGACATAGCCCAGCCAGAGATCCAAAGGCACAACGATGCTGGAGGTGGTTTGAAGTGGGAGATGACTAAGGCGTAAGGGGACTGAAGCCGGACAAGAGAGCAAGAAGCCTGCAAAAAACAGAGATGTGAAATGATGCTTAGGATGCAGAGGCCCAGGAGGACCTTAACGTCGCTAGTTACAGGGGGCACATGTGAAGGACAGGAGGTCAAGGAGGCTGGGGGTTGGCTCTCCAGAGACCCTGTGCACAGAGCAAGCGTCTGAATTTCCCAGCAGCTCAATGACCCTAGCAGGAGTGACCAGCAGTGACACGAAGGGTAAATGTCCTGTTTAGTGGCTGCCTACACAGGGACCGACTGGCAGAGCGAGTGAGCACCCTGGCCACCACAGGTGCTCATCAGAGCAGCAGGCAGCTCCAAGACCCAGACAGAGCAGKAGCCAGTCCCTCGCTGGAGTTCTGAGGCTTGCTCCCACACTCAAGGCACAGAGGTGACCTTGAGTCATGACACCATCACTTTCCAGGGGCTTAAGGGGCTAGAGCCCCCAGCACAGGACTCTAAGTGGGCAAAAGCTGCCCTGGAGACCCCCCGAACATCCAGGCCAACTTTTCCAGCCCCRGAGAAGCTGACAGTTGAAGGCAAAACCAAAACGAGCTCCTTCCCATCACGAGAAGGGGACTTAGATTTGGATTCGTGCACAACTGCTGGATGTTTCAGTTTAATAAACCTAATTAGGAATTACAGAGATTATGATTAAACATATTAAATGATTAATAGCATTATGCCGCTCATGTGAAAATTAAAATTAATCATCTCTAGTCAAACAGGACTTCGGAGAAATCTTTGCGTTGTTTCCTTTGATAAAAACACACAACGCTCAATTAATCATTTTGTAGCATATGCATTTATACAAATACCCACATATTGTGACATAGGAATACCTGTGTTTAAAGTAATTCCTCCTGTATTGYGGAGGGATATTGGCCATATCATACGGTTGGGATCTGGATGTCCTCTACAGGCCCATGGGCCGCAGGCTTGGTCACTAGCTTGTGGCACATGTGGGAGGTGTTGCCTCACGGGAAGAAGTGAGGTCGCTGTGGGCATGTCGTTGAAGGGAATATTGGGACACAGGTCCTTCCTCTCTCTGCATCTCAAATGCCACGAGGTGAACAGGCCTCTGCCACTACACCCTCCTGCTGCAGTGTGCTACGCTGCCATGCGCCCAGAGCAACAGGGCCAAGGGACTGTGGACTGAGACTCTGAAGCCAGGAACCAAAATAAACCTTTCTTCTTTAAAAGTTGAATACCTCAGGTGTTCTGTCACAGTGCACAGAGCTGACTAACATGGAATGCAAGGTGAGTTTCTTTGATGAAAACTTCAGTGGCTTAAAGTAACAGAACTTTCTTCTGTCACATTGTGGAGGCCAGAAATCTGAAGTCAGAGGGCCAGGAGGGTCCCACTCCTCCCAGAGGCTCCACAGGGGTACTCCCTCACCTCTTCTGGCTTCTGARGTCCTCAGGCATTCCTTGCTCTGGGCCACACATCCCTGCTGTCCACTTCTACCCACATGTGGCCATCTTCCCTGTGTCTCTCACTCAACTCCGCTTCTGTTTTCTCTTCTTATAAGGACACCGGTCACTGGTTTTAGAGCCTCTCCTAAATCCAGGATGACCTAGAGATCCTTAACTTAATTACATCTGCAAAGACTTCTTCTCCYAAATAAGGTCACGTGTATTCACAGTTCACCGAGGTCAGAACGTGGACGTGTTTCTTAAGGGCCACCATTCAATTCACTGCAGTCCCCTGTCAAACAAAAACGCCACTGTGTACTTGGCACCAGGGACGGTGTTTTTACCACCTCTAGGAGCACAAGGTCCTCGAAAAAGTCAACTTCATACCAGGTCCAAAAGGAGGGAGACTGCCCCGTTCAGGGCTGGCCCAGGCTCCCCTGTGTCAACAGAGGACACTTTAATGAGACCCTGAGCGGAGGGGGCACTTGGCCCTGGACTCAATGGCGGCTCTCAGCGAGGTGGCAAAGCCCTCCATTGGCCTCGGGATGGGCCGTCCACACTCCAGGCCCTACTCTGTGGGTTCATTAAGCAGTTAGTAGGTACYTGTCCTGGGATAATGGCCTCAGGATCTCTGTGACTGGCTAGGTCCCATRCATACAGATGTGGCATTATCAAATCATGGTGATTATTAGCAGCACGWTTAACCCCCGGCTTCTGCTCTGTGCTTCTCAGGCCCGTGAATGTGTCCAAGTCTGAGATCCATGGACGCCTCCATGACGCCAAGTGGACGGGAGGTCCTTTAGCCCCAGGAGGCGGCCTCATGGGCAGAACTTGGCAGAGGCCCTGGAATAAGCCCCTCAGGACCACAACGGCGCCCTGGCTCTGGCCCCAGGTGAAGGCCCTAATAGGAGGCGGGTGTTTGCCGCAGAGTTTTCCTTAATAAACAAACTCCCCAGGTATCAGCGCAGGTTATAAATGTTAAGAAAACACCACTGGTACTTTCATCTCCTGAAGATCACTTAGTGCTTCCACAAAGACCTTAATAAAGACCCGCGGGGCTCCCTCTGCTATAATCGCTCCTAATTCAATGAATAGCTCTGAGCAACCCACGGCTAATCCTAGTGAAATTGGATTTTGATATCGACCAATCCAGGGATGACTGTGGAGAGAATACGCAGAGTTGGGTAGGAATATGTGCCTTTTGGATTCTGCTCCTCCCCCCGAGTCCTCCCTCTGAGCTAAGCAGACCCTGTGGAGTCCCACTGGGTGTCATCTCTGCTGAGGACCCCGTCRGGGGTAGAAGTACAGGTAAGGGATATTTATGGCAGGGCGTCCAGCCTAAACCCCGTCCCATCACTTACTGCTACCCCCTGAGCCTCCAGACCCCTCTGCTGCAAGCGGGGACATGGGATTTCAGCCCAGGGCTCGTTGCCTCTGGTCCCCGGGGGCTGGAGGCAAGTCATCCTGGGGTTGGATGAGGAAGATGTGGGAGGTGCAGACCCAGGAGTACACAGTGAAGTTGTCAGAATGCAGGGAGGTCCGAGAGATCTTGTGGAAGCCCTGAGCAGAGGGGAGGGAGGATTGGCCTTAGAAAGAAGATGTGAACTGTGCGAATTA